GTTTTGTATGTACATTGTAGCTGTAAGATTTTATGCATATTTATGATGTTAATTTATATATTTTTTTTTAATTTGATTATATCAATTTATCAATCATTTACATAATATAATATGTATTTCTCATTAAATTTTCTATAAATATATTTACATCACATAAAAGTATTCATTATTATATTTTAATTTTTAAAATTTATAAATAATTATAAAGGTACAACCGAGCCAATCATGCTTTCGTTTTTAAAAAATCACAGCTAAAATTTTATATCTACAGCAAAAACATTTACAACAAAAATTTTACTGTCAAAAATCTAAAGTTACACCAATCGAACCCAAATTTGTATAAATCATTGTATATTTTCTTCAATGAAATCAACGTCTTTTATAACATAGATTGGTTGACGTATTTAGTGATTTTCCTAGAAATTTTCGGACGTTTTTTGGTACCATTCCTGCCATGTTATATGTTTCTTTCTGGTCACGAGGATCACAATTCGCATATGCTTCGAAAGATTGACCAAATTGGTACAACAAGTCAAGTCTAAAGCCAATTTTCAAAAAAAAAAAAATTGTACAGTAACATATTAAAATGCGCACACGCCACACGTGCAGAAAAACAAAACAAAACATTTCTTACAAATAAAAAACTCAGAAAGCCCATTAAGAGGCCCAACAAAAAGCTTTTAGAACGAATTCATTTCTAAATTATTCTTCTTACGTTTTAACAAGGCGACGACCGCTTCACCATACATACAATCTCTGGCGAAAGCCTCCGTCGCCATCTCTTCATCTCCGACGTCGGAATATTCCTCGCTCGGGCTTACGATCACGAGCATAGCGGATTCTAAACATATACCGTTCTTAAGCTTAAGCGAAGGCGCGTGTCTCATACTCATCTTCACGCTCGGGACAACACTCCTCCGATTTCTCTCCACGCGCTCCACATCTTCCTCACGCGCCACCGTATTTCGATACTCTCTCAGCCCCTCAGATTCCATCACCACCGTCCCTTCTCCTTCTTTGTCACGCATAACCAAACTCTCCATCCTCTCGTGTTCCTTCACGACTTGGTTCATGAGGTAATGACGAGACGATGCAGCCATCAACGCGCTTATCGTCCACACCACGCGCGTCTTGAGTCCATTCACGAACTCCGCGTCTGACTCACCGTCTAGGGCTTCCGCCGGAGAAGAAGAAGACACGGTGGCGGCGGGACGGAAAGCGACTACGACGCAGCTTTTTAAGGTTTTGCCAAACTCGGCTTTCCACTTAACGACGGCGTCTTTCTCGACCTTGACATCTCCGCCGGGAAGCTCTACGTCAAGATTCCGAACCCGGTTAAACCGGGACAAAATCGTGGAAGGGATATTAGGAGAAAGAGTCGTGGTTGGGATCGCTTTAGTTGGTTTAGAGAAAAGAGAGAGGAGACCGTGAAAGGACTTGAATAAAGATCGGAAAATGTTGTTGCCGACGGGAGAGTCAGACTCGTTGGTGGTAACGACGTGGTTGAGTCGGAGGATGAGTGACTCGGACTGAGGTACGAGCAACTTGAATCGTTTGGAAAGAGAAATGCAACGAAGTAAGGTTTTGACGTCACCGACTTTGTTCAAGATTTCTATAACGATCGGATCGGGAAGTCCATTGAAAACGTCCATCTTTTTAAAAACCTTCGAAAAGAATAAGAGAG